TCTACGTCGAGGGGAGCGAGACTATCCTAGGCGCCAGGACTTCTAACAGACTCCACCAAACTTAACATGGTCCGCCCACCGTTCGATATCTTGTCTGCGTCGCCACGTTGATGCTATGCTCTCTCTTCTCGGACTTCTCTACCACTCTCCGCGCTCACATAAACCATGGAGCAAAATGCTCGTATTTCCTGTGTATTTCAGGATTTTCTTTCCTTTTTTCTCCACTGGCGGTCCACCTCCCACCCCTACTTTCACATTTGAGTGGAATCACCCATCAATTAATCCTGATTCTTACCTCTAACCAGTGCCCCTCTACCACCCCTACTTTTAGCTCCATATGCCATGATTTTTCGTAGTATCCGCCTTTGATAGAAAGTTCAGGCGGTTCCAGCAGTAATTCAAAAGCAAGGTTCACTTGATTGAATGAAATTAGAACACGCTCTGCTCCTGCTTCCTTTCAGTGGAGAAGTTGCGCAAAGGCCCTTGATAATGACTGACACCCGCATGCCCAAAAACAGCTGACTTCATCTCGCTTTCACCAAATATAATACCGGAAACGTTTGAAACCAGCGATTGTTATGTGAGAACATTAATGATATGATCGTCTCAATGAAACCTAATCGAGGTGCAGAAACGTAGGACATTCCTTACAGAACACTGGAATATATCTACCTGATCTTGTCGTAATTTAATCTCGCTTTTGAGTTGTTCTTCTCGATGTTTTGCTTCCGACTGGAGAGTTGCTAACTGAGCTTGTTCCTCTTTAAGTTTATGGCGTAGCTCCAGAACACGCTTTTCTTCCTCAATCAAGCTATTCTGAACTTCACGAAGGGAGGCTGTTGAACTGAAAAAAATTATCTCTTATTCTCACTACACAAAAAATATTAAATGAAATTGCATCAAAGTAATTTGAGCACATAATACGTACCGCTCCGACGCTACAGCCGCAGATTCGGTGCTTTCTTTTAATTTTTCTTTCAGCTCGGATATTTCATTTTCGAATGCCAGTGTCTGCGTATTCTGCACATTAAAGAAATTACGGAATAGATAGTAAATTCATTACTTTTTCCAAAGTTCTACGTACCAGATTGTTTCTGGCTGATTCAAGATCTCGTTCCTTCGAAAGCAATGTTTCTTCAGAAATTCTGAGTTTTTCCGAAAGGTCAACTACCTGAGACTCAGTTCGATGTTGAAGTTCTTGCAACTCTGTTAGCTCACTGAAAGAGCGATTACACCATAAGCTTGAGATTGGTTTCGCTAATACAAATGACAGAGAAATGTAATGTATAAATAATAAAATTATTGAAGACAACCCAAAACCACTCTTATAGAAACCTTTCCGCTCGGGCACGTTCTTCATTGAAAGTAGCATGCAATTTGTCCATTTCAAGGATCAACTCGTCTATACGGCTTTCCAGCTGTCTGCAGTGATTCTCGGAATCAGCATGTTGCGACCTCACTGCCTTCTGAAAAACAACTGCTCAGTCTCACCAGTAATGGCAAATTTGTTTTTAAAATAATGAAAGGACTGGTGAATAAAACGGAGGGCTCTGGAAACCGCCACCCAATTTACTGTCCAGTGCCGCAACGCTGAGGCAAGAATCGACATCAGCCGGGTCGGTACAGGCTGGGAGAAGCATCTAGGTCTCCGTAAGCTTTCGCCGTTTTAGTGAATACTGCACCAAAACTACTGTCTTCTGAGTGAAGTCGTTGATTTGTCCACAGTAGGCAACATTAATCAATAAAAGTACGGGCACCTTTTTAGTGGATACCGGCGTTAAAACCCTAATTCCGATAGATAAGCCCGCGCCGATATCACTTAAAAACACCCGCCGTCGCGTGCAGCGTAATTTTGTACACATTAGAGACTAAAGAAACTACGTTAGTTTGCCTATAGAGGTAATTCGATGCCTGATTACGAAAATGACTTTCATTTTTCGCGAGGGCGCCATCTCGCGCCAGTTGGCGTCACCTTGACACGACACCTACCTTCACCGAATTTGGTGTAAACGTTCGGTTATAGAGAGTCATTTGGTGTTCTGATTACGAATATATGACATTCATTCGCCGGCGCTTTAGCGCCTATTTTCTGCTCGTCTGCGTTCCCCAACGCGAGAAATATGCGAGTTGAACAAAGTACCCTAAAATCCCATAGATAAGAGCGGTCCATAGATATTTTTTCAAAAATAAAATAAAAATAAAAATATTTTTTCAAAATCATTTTTTACCGGTAAATTAAACCGCTCTTATCTATGGAATTTTACTGATCGAATGGGCTCTTCAAGTTCTATCCAGAGATCAAATTCCGGCATTTCTAGAGAGATTCCGGCAGAAATTCCGTTAAAATCGCTATTTTTCTATATGAATTGTTTATTAAGTGGGCGGGGTTTAGAGTTGAGGGACGGAGCTTCTTCTAAACTTCTTCTCCGATTTTTATTTATCCATCCATCAAGTTAGAGGGGTGACTGCATTCAATTTCAATTTCATTCCAATTCATTTTTCACCGGTAAATTAAACCGCTCTTATCTATGGGATTTTAGGGTAATAACAAAACGAATGTAGTCTATCCTCGCCATCAGCCTCAATATTACGTAGTCAGGACACCAAACTAATCCCCTATACAAAAGTTGCACCAGTGGTCGGAAAATAAAGTCTTACAAGCCTGGTGACGCCAACTGGCGCCAGATGGAATCAACATATCTAATTACTCCGATGGCAGTTACGATTGTTTCCGTTGTATGCAAGCTGCACTGCACCAGCACAGAGGAGTTCTTACGCGATATCGTTGCGAACTTACCTACCGGAAATTATGATAATGTACACCAAAATGACAAGCTTGACGAAGTTACCTCTTCTGTGCTCACTCTCTTCACTTCTTCTTCCAGTTCAGCAATCACATCATCTTTCTGCTTGATTTCATTCATAAGAGCTTCTTGCTGAACTAATTTCTCGTTGACTTCTTCCAGAGCTCTAGAATCAGGCTGCATACATGAAATCAAAGAAGTATGCCATAGTAATGTTTTACTTTTCAGCACGACGGCGTTCGCTAGCTGCAGCTTGAGATAGGCAATCGACTTCTTTCAGTTGAATTTGAAGCTCTTCTTCCAACTGAGAAATACGATGGTGAGAGTCGTCCGATAGAGACTGAAAAAGAATTGGAGCGTTCACAAAATGTTCCACTACACATTTCAGATACTTCTTCTACAATGCTGATCATCATTAGATTGTTGTTTTAACGTTCTGATTTCAAATTTGGTTTTGACTAATAGCCCTCGAACCATCTGGGACATAAGCGCTGCTGAACACGACATAATTATAACGTGATTGACAGCCATGGGACTTCCTGCTACTGCGCATGAGCATTTCATTTGCACCATTATTGATGGAAAGAAATACCGAGCCTTATAATCTAAGCAGCGATCTCCGTTTACGTCATGACCGAAAGATACTTTGGCTGTTCGAAAATTTTTCCCAAAGCGGTTTCCCACGAGTTCGATCCTCAGATGCCAAAGATCGCGCATATCGTTCAAACAACAATAATTATATTAGTAGTCGAAATAAAAAGTATTCGTCATTAATTATGACTTCTGTCTACGCGGCCTAGAAGCCTATAAGAGTGCGGACTGGAAGTGTTGGAGTTCTCTGGGCAAAGAACATTCGCGAAGTTTCAGCGTGTGCGTGACTGGAAGCGGAGATGGCGCGCAGGGTCGCCGTCCTATCGGTGGTACGTACTGTTCCCAAAGATTTTTGAGACTCCGTCCTTTCACAACTACTTTTGCCTACAACACACATCGTCGAGTTTGGCGTGATTGGTAGCGGGAGATGGGGAGGTGGGGCGGGTCGAGATGGGGTCCTTCCTCGAGCTAGTAGGCGGGGAGGGGAGTATTCGACGCCTTGAAACCGACAACTCTCCCAGCACGCCTCTCAACTCAGCTCACATGTCTCCAAAGTCCACTCCAAGTACGGACCCCACCGTTGCTACTTGAGGTAAGCCAATGTTAGAGTAATACCGGATGGGGGGGTGAGTGGGCTCGCAGGGGCTTTTCGCCTTTTTGTAACACTGCACAAAGTACTGCATTCTTACCATTGAAGTCGTTGATTTTGCCACAGTAGGATAATCAGTTATTCAATGAAACGAACGTCACCTTTTCAGTTGTTAGCGCGTTAAAACCCTAATTTCCGATAGATAAGCCCGCGCCGATATCACGTAAAAACACTCCGCTCGTGCAGTGTAATTTTGTACACCTTAGAGACTAAAGAGACTACGTTAGTTTGTCTATAGATGTAATTCGATGCCCTGATTACGAAAATGAATTTCATTTTTGGTAGGGCGCAATCTCGCGCAGTATTGCGTTATACCTTGCGAGACGACACTTGAAGCTTTTCACAAGAATATGGTGTAAAGCGCGTAAAGGGTCATTTGGTGTGTTCTGACCATCGACATGAATTCACTCTCGCCGGTGGCGCGATCGGCGCCTTTTGTCTCGAGGGTGCTGATCTCACCAAAAAATATGCGTGTACACAACTTAATTGTCAAAAACGAATGTCATATTCGTAATCAGGGCACCCAAATAACCCTCTTATGCAGAAGTTTGCACGATTTTGGCGAAAACATAGGGTCGTTACAAGGTGGCCAACTGGCGTCCAGATGGCGTCACCGTTAAAAATGAATGCCGTTTTCGCGTATAATTACCCCAACGACCAAGTTACGATGTCTCATTGTCAGTTGTATGCAGCGGCACACAGCACGCACAGCGGAGAGTCTTGCATATAGTTGGACATAGACTTACTACGGAATATATATAAATGTTACACAAAATGCAAGCTTGACGAAGTCTACCTTTCTGTGCTCACTCTTTTCACTTCTTCTTCCAGTCCAGCAATCACATCATCTTTCTGCTTGATTTCATTCATGAGAGCTTCTTGCTGAGCTAATTTCTCGTTGACTTCTTCCAGAGCTCTAGAACCAGGCTGCATACATGAAATCAAAGAAGATGCGCAGTAATGTTTACTTTTCAGCACGACGGCGTTCGCTAGCTGCAGCTTGAGATAGGCAATCGACTTCTTTCAGTTGCACTTGAAGCTCTTCTTCCAACTGAGAAATACGATGGTGAGAGTCGTCCGATCGAGACTGAAAAAGAACTGAAGTGTTATAAAATGTCCACTACTTACATTTCAGGCACTTTTTCTACAACGATCATCATTAGAATCACTTGTTAGTTTTAAACGTTCCCGTTTCAAGATTTGGGTTTTGATAATAGCGACATCTCGGCGAGAAACAGAATAAGCCTCGAACCAAATGGGGACAAAGGTGGTTGAACAACGACAGATATAACGTGATGACAGCGACGAGATCTCCTGCTGCTGCGCTGAGCACTTCTTTGCACACTATGATGAAGAAATGCCGAGTATATGATCTAGCCGGAAATCTCGTTTATGCATGACCGAAAATATTGGGCTGTTCGGGAAGTTTCCGCCGATTTTGACCTCAAATTCAAAAGCGCATATCTCGGTTCAAACAAAACATTTTGATCGAAATAAAAACTATTACAATCCTATACTTTGTCTACAAGGAGTAAGTTTATAAGACACAGATGTTGGAAGTGCTGGAGTTCTGTAGGCAAAAAATTCGGCGAAAGTTTTTCAACTTGCGCGACTGAAAGTGCGAGGTGGGCTGCGCAACTGTGGGAAGAAGAAACTGGGGAACCCAGTTGCCGACTTCTTTTAACGTCTCACCCTCACCTGTATATATGGAAACCCCATCTAAGTCACCAGTTCCATGAAGATTTGGTGAGATTGAGACCCTCAGTTCTTCTTTGTCATTCCCCGACATAAAACCAGTAGCGATGAACAAGAAGGAGGTAGGTGTAACGAGGTGTTCAAAAGAGTAAAAGCGAAAAAGTAGCCAAATCATCGCAAAAACATAGCAGGACATTGAGTCAACGAAAAAAGATGAAAATGACAGTGGCACAGCGATAAAAAAAATCTTCTACAAAAAATTAATTCAAGCTTAGCAGTACGTATAAAAGCTCACAAAAGTAAGAAAGAAGTGGAAGAAAGCGCAAAAAGGAGAAGCAAAGGAAAAGATCCTGATTATAATTGAGCTCTGATTATATCGAATGTAGAGGGCAACCAGCATAAAAAAAACGAGTAAGCACAGTACGAAAGGACCGATAATGGATTGTTATGGATGTACTCACCACCTTATCTCCACAAGCTTCAGTTATGTCCTCGTCCTGCAAAGGTACGAAAACTTCTGCATTGTCAGCCTTCGACTGCCGCTCAGCTAACTGAAATACAACTTGATGGCATTGAGATTTTCTTCAATCACAGGGTCTAATAAGTCTCAAGGGCGTAACCCGTTAATGAAAACAATAGTTTGAAGTTCAGGGCGACGTGGAGACTTACAAAAAAAGGGAAAGAAATAGCTAGAAACGCTCGAAAAGGGGGCTCTTCGTTGTGATACGGAGTGGGCTATGATGACGTGATACTGATAGTCTACGAGAGAGTGGGCGAAGGAGCAAGTAGAGGAAGAGGACACACACCCCGCTGCATAAACTGTCATAGCCAACGAATGACTCTTCTTTTGATGTTGAAATTGCATGAAGAAATAATTATTATTACGTTTTTCATGTTCCCTACGGAGGAGCGGCTTTGGGATAGATCCTGGCACCATGCAAACAAAACAGAAAAAAAGCTCATGCAGAAAAACAGCAGAAAATAGATCACAAAAATACGAACTTCACCCATATTTCAGTATTCTTACGATGTCCGGAGAGTAAGTCAAAAAGAGACTTCGGAAGTAAAAGTTGAAAAACTCATCGAGCTCACCTGAGATTTTAACTCGAGAAGTTCCTTCTCTAGAGCAGCTCGGTGGTTCCGTACAACTATGATCTCTTCTACGTTTCTCTTCAACTCCTCATTCAAACGAATGTTCTCCAGCTGAACATCTCCAGCACTCATGGAGACGCCGAGAGGCTCGTCTCCAGATCCGCCAACTCTGGCTGGTACCTCCAACTTTCCCTGCACCGTTTCACCGGCTGTCTTCAGTTCACTGAGCAATCGTTGAGCCTCATCCCTCGTGAACTTTACTGTGTTGTTTTCTTCCTCGAGGTGATTGATTTTTGCTGTCAGTTCAGTATTCATTTCATTCAGGTAAGCAATTTCAGATCGGAGTTGCTGAATTTCATCGCTCGTGCACATCTCACCGGCAGTTTGTGCACTCAATTCCGAAACTGAAGCCATGTTTCCATGTGCATTTACCTAAAAGCCGTTATGTAGAACTCTAACATTTTAGCCGCTGCAATTTCGGACTCACTTTGTTCGCGAATTCGCTTTCAGATGAGAAGGAAATCAAGGCATCTTTCTCCTTCCGCTCTTCCACTGATTTTTCAAGACTGGAACGCTCCTCCATCAAAAGGGCACGATCTTCTGAAGAATTGATGATAAGAAGTTTGTAGAAAAATTCAGTTGTAAACGCACCTTTTAACGCTTTTTCAGCTCTTTCAGCACGCTCCGTTAATGAGGCCACCAAACATTCGACTTCATCGCGTTGTTTACGCGTATCCTTGAAAAACAAGAGAGAAACTTCCTCCAACAGTGATCCAAAACTAACAATTTGTAATAATAAAAAGAGGGAGAAAGAACTCGACGTGCTTACCTCCAATTCGGCTTTGAGACGATCATGCATTGCAGACAATTCGCGAGCAGTAGCTATCTCTTCTTCAAGCTCCTGCTTACGTATCTCAATGAGATGGAACTCACTATTACGTGATTCTAACATGGCTCGCAACTCATCGAGTTCTTCTCGCAACGTCGCCTCCAGCTGCTTCGCCCTGGGCAATTACCAATTAATTTTGAATCAATGAGTTTCGATGCAATGAAATTTCGCATGTCAAGCCCTAGACCCGCTAGAACTGGCAGATTTGGAAGGAGCAGAGTAGTTAATTCTGAACAGCGATTGAAATTCAACATAGCAGCCTAGTACAGGATGCACGAGGGAGCGCTTGGAAGAACAAAAGACGAGGCGCGAGGTGGAGATTGACAAAGAGCATATGTTGTTTGCGTGAGAGCAGAGACAGCGTGCACATGCCAAAACAGTCGATTGGGATGTAAATAGTAGGACGAGATAAGAGAAGAAAACGAAGCACGATGATGACAGCTTATTAGGGCGAAAGAAGAAGAAAGCTACTGGATGTTCAGCGGAATGGTGTGAATGAGACATATTCATAAGTGTTCCATTGGGAATTACTCATTGTAGATAAAGATATTCAGCCGGCCCCAAGTTCGAACAAGTTGACTGATAAGATAGCGCTGAAATAGAGTTGACGCATAATCTCACCACAGAGCTCCGAGTTCTGGCTCTCTATTAATCTAATCTCATTTACACAGAATGTGAAGCGGAAGGTGCAGAACATGCGCTATTTGACATGCATGATTTAAACATTAGACCGATGTGTAGCTCCATTTCTGATGTACTAAGGCATAATCACCATAGAAGGACAAAAGCATAGCAGGAAAGCATTTGTCAAGGGATGTCTCGTGTTTAGTTCCGCATATCAATTACTGTCTAGAGCCGTGTTATGGGCAAAACAATCTGTCCAGGCGGGAATTGAGTCCATCAGAGCGAAGTGTTTTGCCCACAACTTGGATAACCCAATAACTCAGCATCCTGTGATAAACTGAAAAACTGCGGCCAATAACAGCAATCAACAAATAAAAAACAAGTCCCAATCAATTATCGATTACTGGCAGGATTAGATTCCATTTGATAAGCAGCTCCTTGGATCATTGGTTCTTTATAACTGTGTTGTTGCTCTATAAAGCTCTCTGCTTCTTATTTCAATTTTTTTCAAAGTTAAAATTTGAAAACCATGAACATAGATGGAAGAAGAACACGATATTTTGTAGAGCAGACAATTCTCTTTCGAATGGTATATAACTCTCTGTAAAAGCATGGGGATTTAGATCAAAATTTTTTGGTTGAAAAAAAGCGACACTATTTATGAGACAACCTAATAGTTTTGCGACTCCAAGTTGCT